ATAGCTGTGAGATTTTTACTTTCTGATGTTGGTCGCTTATTTAGTTCAGTTCAAATTGGCCCAATTTTAAACGTCGGTCTTGACTGTTCTGTTCTCGTTGGACAATTCACTCAGATTAATGTGAGGAAAAATTGAGAGAATTGAAGTTTTACATTTGTATGGAGGAGTTCTTAGCTATGTTTTGAAAGTATTGCATAGTGAACTTGAGCAAAATTAAGTAATTAGTACCTGCTTTGTTGTTTAAGTTGTTTCATTGAATAGTGTACCTGTTTTGTGAATTATTAAACAGGAGAATTCATCTCATTTCTGAATGCATATCGACTGTATTGCCACATTTTCTGTCCATTCCTGTTAAAATTGAACAACTCACTAAATTATATCTTATATTCTTTCTTCACTTTCGTGTGCAAGGGAAGTCTGCAACGCTTTGCCAACAGAAAAAAACATTTTCCTGACGTTGAGGTAAATAATAATTATACCCCCAAACTTAATGATCTCAAAGTATCCCCGCGTTTTGGGTAGTCCCGAGTATCCCCGATTTCGTTTTACTGAAAGTGAACTAAACAAGAGACTGGGGTGAGTAACATGGTGTCCAATGTTGACTCATCGTGAACTACAAAAATTGCTTTCTGAAGTCAGAGAAATTGCTCTTCTATCTAAGTAACACCAGAAATGTCCGTCACTACTGGGTTTGAGAAAAAGAGCGATCAGTCAGATGATTTTGGTCAATTGCTTCCATAAAGTCGGACACCGAATCCGCTGAAAAGAGAGATCTTGGTACTGAATAACCAAATTTACCAAAAAGGAAATTTAATAGTTCGGTTCACCATAAGAAAATGATAATTATGAAAATCAATGCAAAAATTGTTCTTATCAGAAGCCTGCGTATGCTTCTACCAATGATTTAAAGCTACATCTACGTTCATTCAAATGATTTATTTTCAAAATTTTGACAGAGAAAATCGATTGTTGTTCAGCAACTGTTCATTTGCCACAAGCTTTTTATACCTTGCCGAAATGATTTTAACAAAATTTAAAGTCTTTCACCTACCGAAAGAAAGCTGATAAAATATTTTGAACTAATGTAAGTATACTCTGTCAAAATTATGTAAATGTTATATTTTCCATCGAGAAAAAGACAGATCTCTCAAAAATGGAAAAACGAATTCAAAGTCTCTCGCCATACGTTCCTAAGCAAACATTCTCAGCTCTTTTGAAAATGGACCCTAGATTTGACAAGTGATTGACTTAGATCCCGATGTAAACAGATCTCCCGCTAAGGAAAAGAAAAGAATTTTTTTTTTTGTAGCTTGTTGAGTTAACGTTTGAAAAACTATAGAACTGTTAATAATTAAATTTGCCTGATCAGTTTTTTGGTTAAAGGTCGTATTTGATGGCTTTTCGTCGGAAAAGTTAATTTCCTATGCACTAATTACATTTCATAGACACTCCATTAATAACAACCGGGAAACATTAAAAAATATATTTGCTACTATCCATAATTTCATGCACGTACAGATGTAATATATTCAATAATTTTTCAAACTCGCAGTTCTCACTGTCATGTCCATAAGCAGATGGTTACATACTGTCAATAAAGATCCCTAACACGTAATTACAACATTTGATCATGACGGTTCGATGAAGAGGCTAAAAAATATCTCGCTTAGCTGAGAAATGTCGTTCTTGTCCTCAGTTTTACTGACAAATGGCATACTATCGCTAATTTTGGCGTTAGTAACATCGGCAGGATGTTTAATCATGGGTATAGCAATTGTGAGGAATCCGTTGAATGTGACTCGTAAAGCGATCCACTGTATCGAACATGTCGGTTTAGCGCTTTCGCTTTTAGCAGGGATGGTTCTACTACCTTATTTCGGAGTCACTGAGATTCTTCAAGGCGTGAACAACAACGCTGGATCATCCGATTTTCCAAGCTTCATATCAGTGCTAGCGGATTTCCTAATCGCTTCAAAGCTTGCTATTTACTTAATTGTCTGCACCGAGAGATGTATTGCGTACAGATGTCCTCATTTTCACCGCGCAAAAGTTACAAAACGCTCAACCTTAGGCGTTTCTATTCTCTCAGTGACCTTCTGTTTCTTCGTCTCCTGTCTATCTTTCACAGGAATCGACGAAAAGAGTTATTACAATGTCTTCATACACTTGTTTTGCTCTTCTTCGTGGGTGGTGTTTCTTTTCGTTACCTGGTTAACATACCGAAAACTCAAGAACAGAACCAGAATTGCGCCGAATGAATCAGTCCAATTACCCCAAATAAGAGAAAAAGCTGAATTTGAAAAAGCCCGCAACGCCTCGATTGCTAAGAAACATGTTCATAAAGCGGCAAAGTTTTACATGCCAGTTTTCTTAACAGTTTTACCTTGGTACGTCGTAAAATGTACCAAAGCTGTGTGCGAGGTTTGTATGACGACCGAGGCAGGATTTTTCTGGCAAAGATTCAGCATCTCCATTGCTTTTTTAACTGACGCCTATTATCCCCTGACATTTTACCGGGAATACGGTAAAACGGTAAAGTACATTTTCTGCAATCGATGATTTCTGCGACTCGGTAATAATATACGATATTGACAATAACGTAACATGCACAGAGTAGCCAGGTGGTGAGAATAATGTAATATCTTGAATATAAATGTCTTGTATCTTCGTGGAAATCACCCCTCCTTTGCTTATGGTGTGAACTGGCTGCGTCACTTTCTAAAGAGAACTAAGATGAAAATAAGACAAGCTGATCCTAGCGGTATGCAGGACGCGTGTCATTAGAACTTCGAAATAGACCCCGCTCACCGAAGAGTCTTTGTGGCTCAGTGGTAGAGCGCAAATCCGAAGGTCTGAGGTTCGATTCCTCATGGGGACTCAGAATTTTCCTTTGTCCCACGCTCGTGACAAGACGAAAAAACATCTTAACTATAGTACAGTTTCAAATCAACAAAAAATGTTCAAGTTTGTTCAGGATTAAATAACTACTTATAGGTTGGTGCATACCGAAATTTTTGTTCAATTTTGTTCAGACTTTTGGTTGCCTCTTTGTAATTTTTCAGCATCTTTCATATTTCTTTCTGGAAGCTTAAGTTTGCGTTCGACATTATTCGAAAGTTTCATGAGTTAAATATGGCATATACACATGTTTGAATTACGCCGAAGGTGATTGTATGTTTGTGCCATGAATGAAAAGAAAGGCTTATCAATGAGAGACTTTCGGCTCGATCACCTTTCTTGTTCGCAAAACGTCACTGGACTGATGATGAAGCCAACTGTCATCTTCTTACCCAAGGTAGGACGAAAGTTTCCGTCTCAGTAATACATTTTCTGTTTCTTTAGAGTCTTGTCTCGTGTTTTCACGAACTTTACTGAAACACACAGCTATAACACATTTTTGAGTCTGTCACTTACGAAAATACTAGCCACAGTACTTTTTTTTGGAGAATTCTAACTCGATTGCAATGCTGTGTAGATATATGCATCCACAATAGAGACTGGGCCAATAAATTTTTCCGGCCTCGAATATTCAGCCGAAAAAAAACAAATTGCAACTAACAACACTGTTAAAAGTCACTCAAATTTTGACAATGAATTAATCCGAAAGTTTGCGAAAACAATGTGCAAGTTTTGCTCGTCCCGCTGTCATTCCTTCTGTACAATGCTAGCTTCTGTCCAACTAATTATCGAGTAATTTTAATGTCCAAAAGTTTTTCAAGCTACATTCTAAATTGGCAAGACGTAAAACCTTGTAATATCATTTTAATTAACTCGGCACGAAAATACGATCGACAACATTGGGTACGTGACAAAACTTCACACACATCCGTATTGTAAACAATATCTATTGCGGTTCAAAATATCTACCAATTCAATCACTCTACTGACTCGACTGGTTTTGCGACACAACTGTCGTTGAATGCTTATTCATCAATTCACTTGATATAATTTCCCATTGCGTATTATGGATCATTTAATCATTTGCAGCTTTGTTTAGAGTTGGAGTTGCAAACTTTTTCAAAAAACCCTCTGCTGGATTTCAGTTGAGGTATTTCATTGGCTACCTAATAAAGTTTCTATGTAACACACGTTCTTATTGGCTGGAAAAGCGTGCTTTATCGGATTACGGATGAAAGGAGTACCGGTGTCACGCTATCGACCAATTTGTGCCATGGCCGACCATTTCTCCGGCTTCTCTCTAATTTTTTTTTTTTTGTTTTGACCCAAAGGTCTTGCATGAAACCAAAGAACGAACTTGAAAACGGGCCCTCGGCTGCAATTAATCGGAGCAACCTATAAGTAACATTAAAGATTAATAATAACAATAATAATAATAATAGTAATAATGGGAATCTAGTAGTGAGTATTCCACGAGGTCTCTAGGAAGTGGTTCTTCTTGTCCAGGTCGAACTGAAATTTGGAATGTTGGTAGGAACCCAGAGAAAAATCGTCGGTGCTAGGACGAGAACCAACAACAAACCTACAAATGACACCAGGTCCGGGAATCAAACCCGGGCTACAGTGGTGGATGACAAAAGCTCTCACCACTGCGCCAGCCTTGCTCCCTTCCACGGAGATAGAAAGTGAAATTTGGGAACAAGCTAACGATGAACAAGACCAGCCGGCCAGGCAGGTAGCGACAGAAGAACAAACAATGTTTTGTTAACATACCAAGCGCCAAAATTGGCAAAATTATAACGCGAGCAGAGACGAAAAATATCAAAGAGAAAATGGAATACACTGTCGACCCGAGTTTTGAAGGCTTACGCTCTACATGTAAGATTGTTATACACTTCTTTCCGCACTCAGATACAGAACCCGATAACAGACGATCTCGACATATTTTTTGAATCAATATAAAAATCTTCATTTTTCAAGTTATCCTTTTGATGTATTTTTAAATAACTTTTGTAAAAATTCACGTCGATTTGCCCCCAACAGACAGATATGACTGCTAAGATTGATATGTCACCATAGAAACGGTCAGTAAGTTGAGATTTCTTTTTACGGCAGTTAGTTAGTACATTCGACTGACTCGCTATTGAATTTGATTTTCACGGCATGTAGAGACAGAGAATCGACCGAAAAGAAGATGAAAGCTATTCTGTGTATTGCGGTAAGAAGAACAATTTTTAACCTTATAAGCTTACATATTACATTGAACTTATCATAAACGCAGTTCCAACAATCTTTTCTAAATTATCATCCGATGCGAGCGTAAAATTGCCGATTTTGACGTGATGATTTCATCATAGACAGTTTGTGAAGGGAGATTACCACCGTATCAAAGATGACATTAAAGTATTACCGTTCGCCTCTAAATTTAGTCACTTAAGACGTGGATCACAATGTCTCGATACACACTACTAGTCTTCTTCAGCCGGTTTATCCCTATTCCTTCACGGAGGTTTTTTTCAATAGACGGTGCATTTTCTTTCAATTTTGTGATGCCTTTGTCCTATGAATGGCGTTATACTAAAGATTCCTTTTTACGCGAAATTTCTAAGACAAAAACAATTGAATTTACTCCGCTCTGACTCTTGCACAGCGCTTCTAAAAGAGATTTTACATAATTTCGCGTGAAAAAAAGCTAACTTGACCTCATTAATAACAAATAAGAGCGCTATGATCTATTCTGTCTACTTAAGGGGGAAAGTATTATCTTGCCCGCCGCCATTTTACATTCTGTTGGCTAGTTTTGTTATTTTTTAAAGGTTTTTTCAGTCTCAGAAAGAAAAAAAACAAAGCAAAAGAAGACTTTAAAGACTTCTTCCCCTTTCAGAAGTATGAATACCCAAATCGCCCTTAGTAAAGCAAAGTTCCATGGTAACGAATGTGTTTTAGTAAGAATGTGTTCGTCATGAGAGTGTATACTTTTAAAAGCCGATGGAGAAACATTCATTGTATTTCGTTAGACAAGGCTATCTGTTTTTGTTATCGCGTCAGATGTTTTACTTTTTTTATGTACGAGTCATCTTTACAGACTAACAATAGATACATATGCTTTCGTGTTTCAAGTTCAAGGCTTCCCTGTCTTTACAAAATTGTTCGATAAATTAGCTGGTGATTGACACTAAATAAATAACATCCGTTCCCAGCGCTACTAGTAACTTGGTCAGTGCAATAATGGCTGTGCCTCTCTAAAAGACATCAGTGGCCATCTAAAACTAAACAGTTTGGTGTCTTTAAATGTAAGAGCCGATGTTAAAAACTTTTTCCAAGTGAAAGAGGTGGTAATTAACCAGAAACTAATATTTTAACAATTCTATTTTGCCTTGTTTCAGTTTGTCCTATTAACCACCACATTACTTGCATTGTGGTATTTGCCACCAACAAGTGAGTGAAAATGTTTTGTTACCTACATAATTTGGTACTTTGTGGGCTAAAGAATCCTAAACTCGAATCTTGTTATTAATCAAGTTGTAATTCTGATTAAAAGAAGTTTGCAGTTTTGATTGAAAAATAACTTTAAAGACTGATCACTCTTCTACTACTCCAACGAAAATCTAGTCACTTAACTCTGGTGATAATTGCGCCGAGTCTGTTGCAGGAAAGCTCTCACCTGAACAATCAGTATCACATCTTCATTTCGATTGTAAACTGCTTATTAGATGCAATTTCTTCAATTTTGTGATCAATTTGAGCACATAAGTTTTTCAGATCATTAACATCTGAAAGACTTCTCAAAATATTATTCCACCTCTTTATTTTTTCCAGCAGCTTTGCCTGTCAAATGGCGTGACTATTTCAGCCATGAAATAAGGGATTACTGGGCACTTCCTCGTCGAGAGAATGAACATTTACGACAGGAGCCAGACCTCGTTGAGAAATGTTGGAAAGGTAGCGGAAGTGACGTCAGTGAAGAAAGTGAAAAATACATTGGTTGGGGTGGTGAAAGAGATGATTCAGGCAGTGGCGCCGGAAGTTTAGAGGAGGAAAGTTCAGGTAGTGATGGGGAAAGTAAAGGAAGTGGAGAGGGAGGCAGCGGAGAAAATGGAGAGGAAGGAAGCAGTGGAGACAGTGGAATGAAAGAAATCAGCGGAGGTAGTGGAGAGGAAGGAAGCAGCGAAGAAAGTGAAATAGAGGGAAGCAGCAGAGAAAGTGGAGAGGAAGGAGGCAGTGCAGAGAGCAGAAAAGAAGGAAGCAGTGGAGAAAGCGGAGAAGAAGGGAGCAGTGGAGAAAGTGGAATGGAAGGAGGTAGTGAAGAAAGTGCAGAGGAAGTAGGCAGTGCAGAGAGCAGAAAAGAAGGAAGCAGTAGAGAAAGCGG